GTGGTGATAATGTGAGAAACTCGATACATGATTGTAGCAGTAATTGAAATAAAAACAAAATATAGTTGTGAGTCCAAGGACAAAAGGTACCTAGGTAAGGTGATATACAGTTTGATGATCTCTATGACTCCCATCCCAAGTACTGGTAGCCGAGATCCACTAAGATCGTGTGATAAGCCACATCCTATATCTCAAAATAATTCCTGGGACTGGAATACATACTACTTTTATAGATCGAATTTTTTTCCATGAATACCTACCTACCTTGAATCAGACGAATGTATCTCACTGCTGTGAATTAGAGATGTCTGATAGTAAAATAGCATTCTGTACTCTTTTAACTGACAACAATTTTAAACGAACAAAATGCGGTGAAATTGATGAGTGTCTGGCTGCAGAGCGAATCATCGAGTAGACCGCTCATAGTCAACCAATTTTGTGCGAAATTCGTGTGGCTAGAGAAGGTTAACGTCGACAAAGTAACGCTTGGTACCTCAGCGAGCTCAACAAGTAGCACATCAAACTCGAAGAAACCGGTTGAATACTTTAATTGAGCCCGTCAGATTGTTGCGGGTATAACCCATTATTTGGGGAACTTATCCTACATAAGAGACTTCATTATGCATGCAGTCGGTCAATCAGGTACGTACCTGATACGACTTCAATATGTATGTACTGCTGGCTCGGGTAACAGTAGCACAAGTCGGTTATGATGTGGTTGGCCATTGACATTGAAGCACCTCCCTTATCCGGTAAAGTGGGACTAACGTTATAACCTTACCATAAAAGGCAACTCAAAAACAAAATCCCCTATCCTGTCCGAGCCCCCCATCGTCCCAAGCTCTTTTCATGAACATCCCCGCACGGAATCAGCATCTCGAATACACGCAATACCATTACTCAAGTACGAAAGTTATACCAAGCTTAGAGTAGCGGCTTAGATGCCGGATAACGGTTAGACCCCTAGGGCTCTGAAGCTCTGTCTGGTTTATCAGTGAGGTACAGCCCCAATCATCTTTTGTGGTTATCTTCGGCTTCATAGACTACATGGATTTCATTTACAATTCATTTATCATACGTGATTGTTATCGATTGTTATCCTCCCAAGAAATGGGGATCTACGAAACTATATCGAATTAGTCTCATGGGTCTTCTCGTATGCATGTCTTCCAGATAAGGTAGGTGATACCAGTAAGTTTGGCCTCCCGAGAAAAAAATTGTATGAATACTTGAGGTGAATCCGTGGCAGTATTCACCTCCACTCCTCTGCCTTCTCTTGTTTGTCCTTCTTCTACATTTCTGGGCTCGAGTTTCTCCAAGTCCTCAGTATCCGTCATGAAGTGGTCAATTGTATCCGCGATCTCTTTGCTGGCTGCATCTGCAGCTGCTGAGCACCCATTCCTTCGCAAAGGGAGGTTGGTCCCACCGATTGAAGCAGAAGACGAATTTCCTGTTTCAATCAATGCAGCTGGTGTAAATACTACAGGTTCTGCATTCTTCACCCAGCTTTTAGATCATGACAATCCTTCTAAAGGAACTTTCCAACAAAAGTTTTGGTGGAACTCCGAGTTTTGGGCCGGACCAGGATCTCCAGTAAGAATAACCACAACTTTCAATAATTGTGCTCCCACTGACAATTGTAGATCGTTTTCTTCACTCCTGGTGAAATTGCTGCTGCAAACTATGGTGGCTATTTGACGAACATCACCGTTACCGGGCGCTTTGCGCAGGAAGTTAAGGGTGCCGTTGTTATGGTTGAGCGTATGTATTTTCCACTTTCAGGTTGGAAGATATGCTGATTGTTCTACAGATCGTTTCTGGGGCGAATCTTCTCCATATGATAATCTCACAACAACCAACCTACAACTCCTCACTCTGAAACAAGCTATAGCGGATTTCGTTCACTTTGCCAAGACAGTTGACCTTCCATTCGACTCAAACCATAGCAGCAATGCAGCTTCTGCGCCCTGGATTAATTCAGGTGGTAGTTACAGCGGTGCACTCTCTGCTTGGACAGAATCAACAAGCCCTGGTACATTCTGGGCGTACCATGCATCCAGTGCCCCAGTGCAAGCTATCGACAACTATTGGCAATACTTCTACCCCGTTCAAGATGGCATGCCAAAGAACTGCAGCAAAGACGTTTCTTTAGTTATTGACTATATGGACAACGTCTTGACCCATGGTAGCAAAAGTGAAGTAACTGCACTGAAGACTAAGTTTGGCTTGGAATCTGTCAAGCACAATGACGACTTCATGGCTGTTCTCGAAAATGGCCCTTGGTTGTGGCAGTCAAACAGTTTCTCTACAGGCTATTCAGGCTTCTACCAATTCTGTGACGCAATTGAAGTGAGCAGCCTCTTATCTGAATGGTAGAATATGTCCTAACTCGATAATAATAGAACGTCACCGCCGGAGCCGCTGTCACTCCAGATGCGAACGGTGTTGGTCTTACGACCGCATTGGAGGGTTATGCAAAATGGACCAAGAGCTACATACCTGGCTGTAAGTATCTGGTTGCCAATCAAAGTATTGGGGTACTAACAAAAAGCGAATAGACTGTGAAAGCTTTGGCTACGCTGCCAACGACACATCTTGTTTCGATACACATGATTTCAACAACTTGATGTTCAGAGACTATAGCGTTGGAAATGCAATTGATAGACAATGGAACTGGATGCTTTGCAACGAGCCTTTTGGCTATTGGCAAGAGTATGTATTGCAGAATTGACATTGTATCGCTTGGGCTAACAATTTTGGCAGTGGAGCGCCCAAGAACAGACCTACAATTGTTTCCCGTCTCATCGATGCGAATTACTGGCAACGACAATGTGCTTTGTTCTTCCCAACTGAGGGCAAATACACATATGCCAGTGCTAAGGGTGCGACTGTGGATCGAGTCAACAGATACACTAAAGGATGGGACCTCGAGAAGACCACTCGTCTTATTTGGACAAATGGGTATGTGGCTTTGTCCAAGTTGCTAACAACCTGCTGACATATCGATAGTCAATATGACCCATGGAGAACATCCGGTGTCAGTTCTCAATTCAGACCCGGTGGCGAATTGAAGTCTACTGCGAAACACCCAGTACAAATCATTCCTGGCGGATTCCATTGTTCAGATCTCCGATTGAAGAACGGACAAGTCAATGCTGGCGTCCAAAAAGTAATTGATAATGAAGTGGCACAAATAGTGGCATGGACAGCAGAGTATTACAATCAAAATTCGACTCGCCCGTCATATGGAGGAGGACATAGACGAAGATATTAGTATGGCAGTAATCTACAACGAGGTAGAAGGAAGAAATCTACCCGATTGAATAATGAGAAATGAAGATATTCATCAACGTTGCAGCTTCTGTGAAAGAAATAGACTGGAGCTCAAACATGATTCTCAAGATATCTACTCGTATTGAGCTGTGAATAGTGATAAATTCGTACATGCAAATAAACGACCTCATCCTTATTAACGTCAAAACGGGTGGGGTTTTCCAGGACGACCCGGTTTGCTAGTTCCTTATCGCTTATCGTTAGCCACTTCCGAGCAGCACCGCAAAAGCAAGCTGTCCTTCCTCTCTATTAGAAATCAAACCAACTTCTGACAATCAGGTATTTAAATCCCAAGAACTCCTTCAAAGCTAAGGGGTTTCCTTCAATCATACAAATACTTACATCTTTTATCAGAAACGAATCATCAAAATGGTTCTCTTAAAAAGTCTCGTGTTCGCTGGCCTTGCCACAGTTGCAACAGCTTCATCTGCCGTTATCGATCTCATTCCTTCGAACTTCGATCAATTTGCCTTCGAGGGCAAGCCAGCTTTGATTGAATTTTTTGCACCATGGTGCGGACATTGTAAGACCCTTGCACCAGTTTACGAGCAGCTTGCTTCGGACTTTGCATTTGCAAAGGACAAGGTCACAATTGCGAAAGTCGATGCGGATGCAGAGAAGAGCTTGGGCAAGAAATTCGGCGTTCAAGGTTTCCCAACCATCAAATACTTCGATGGAAAGAGCAAAACCCCAGAGGATTACAATGGAGGCAGAGATATCGATAGCTTAACAGAATTCATCACACAGAAGACTGGTGTTAAGCCAAAGAAGGCAAAGGCTGCCCCAAGTGCCGTCGAGATGTTGAACGATAAGTCATTCAAGGAGCAAATTGGCAGTGACAAGGATGTTATTGTTGCTTTCACTGCACCATGGTGTGGCCGTAAGTCTATCCAGTATCTGCGTTGACAATTACAATGACTTGCTAACTTTTTTTTTGTTTCAGACTGCAAAACTTTGGCACCAGTATGGGAGAAGGTTGCTTCAGATTTCGCCAATGAACCCAATGTCGTTATTGCCAAGGTCGATGCCGAAGCAGAAAACTCCAAAGCAACAGCCAAGGACCAAGGCGTTACCTCTTACCCCACCATTAAGTTCTTCCCCAAGGGAAGCACTGAACCCGAAGCATACTCTGGTGGACGTTCAGAGAAGGATATTGTCGAATTCATGAACAGCAAGGCCGGTACACACCGTGCTGTTGGTGGTGGACTTGATGCTACTGCTGGTACCATCGAGGCTTTGGATGCTCTCGTCACCAAATTTACTGGTGGTTCAAGCATTGCTGAGATCGCCGCAGAAGCTACCAAGGCTGCTCAAGAATACAAGGAGGGTGCACAATCCAAGTACGCCGAGTACTACGTTAAGGTCTTCGATAAATTGAGCAAGAGTGATAACTACGCCGCAAAGGAACTTGCTAGATTGGATGGTATCATCAAGAAGGGAGGTTTGGCACCAGAGAAGTTGGATGAGTTTACAACCAAAACCAACATCTTGAGAAGATTCATCGAGAAGGCAACCGGAAAGTCTGAGTTGTAGAAAGATTAAGTTGTTCAATGTAAAAGGGGGTAAACGAGTTGATTTCAACACTAAAAGTTTATTTTGGATTGTTCTCGGAGACGTAGATAACTGTATGCGAATGAACACTTTATGAATCATGTACTTTTGAATAACTACCTTGGTATCTCGTCCCATGTCCTCCCATTTCAACGCCCGTTTGTACAATTGTAATCAAACTTCCGTATGCAATTCCACCCACGTTTGACAACACTGCAATCTATATTCCCCCTCATCTATCGGCTCCAAAATTTAATCAAGAATATGGTAATGTAGTTGTACCTTGCAGATTACATCTTCGTAGGGCTGCCTCGGCCGTCCCCCTTCGGATCCATATTACTTTGCAGTGTAGCCTCGAGATTATCTAAACGTCGCGACATTTCGTCCACTATTCACATATATTTAGCCGTTGTACTCCATCATAACCCCAAAAAGCATGTGTAAGAAGAAGAGTGTTGCGCTGGAAAGAAAGGAGAAACACACTCTTTGCGAAAATCTCGCTCGAAACGCCAGCGAATTTATTCGAGAGAGAATTTAGAAGTTCATCGACAACGAGAGAAAGCTCAGCGGTGGCTGAGGCATCGGTTGCTGCCTTTGAGTAGGTTTGATAGTTAGTTACGAGTACGGAAGCTTGAGGTTAGGGCGGTGCTACGGGTAGAATAGTGGTGTTTACTGACAGATGTGGTGGAGATGGTGGACATGCGATTTGGGTTTGGGGATTTAATATCGTTTGTTGCCATGATTGTGGGATAGTTGGTATGATTTTGTAGATAGATAGAGCGACGTTACTATGGTTCAGAATTTGAGGTAGAGACAGTGTAGTGTTTTCTTTTTTTGTTTTTGGGTGAGGAAAAGAAATCAGTGAGGATCGGTATTTAAGAGGGGAATGTGCCCGATGATGCCTCATTACAATGATTGATCGTACAAGATATCAAATTCACAAAAACTAAGCATTTCTCGAACTTTGCAGATGCAAAATGTCTTTTCATCTTTCTCATGGATGAATAGAATATGGAATACTCCCACACAGTAATAAGAACAAAAGGATAAACAATCCGCAAATATGCCACCCCAACGCGGTGATGTCTCTCTTATATTTTTCGTCATCATGGTTCTATGGTGGATTGCGTCCAACGACACCGGACTCCCATCCAACCTCGGGGATTCACAAAATACTGCAGAGGAGCAGTTGGCACACAATAGACATGTGTTTGGAGTGTTGAATACAACAAGTTATGGGGATTTCGCACCGGAGAAATCGGACGATCCAAGCTATTTGAACTTGACTGGGTTTAAGGCAGAGGATGGATATAAATGGGAGAGATTGCGTGCTTTCAAGGAGAGGAGTGATGAATTGAGGAAGTGGGCGAGAGGGCTGCAGGATGGATCGAATTCTGACAGGGAGGGCGGCCGGGGATTGGAGGGCAGGATTTATACCAATGTGACGGGAGTGGTGAGGGGAAATTGGGCCAGATACATGAGTGGTTTGCTAGCGGGGAAGGAGAGAAGGAGTGGATTGAATCTAAGTGTTATTGCGCCGGGGGTCGCTTGGGCCCTCACAGACGAGGAGCTGTGGACAAGGAATGTGACGGGGAGGGAGGGGAAAGTTATGTTGAGGTTGGATGAGGCTGCGGTAGAGGAGATGATTGTACAGGTGACTAAGGAACATGTCACTGAAGGCGAAAATTCAGCGAAGGCCGAAGAAGAAGCTTCGAAGAGGGAAGCAAAGATTGAGAAAAGGGACATATCCGATGGGATTGAGAGAGTCGATCTTGGAATTGGCGCAAATCCGGGTACAGAAATACTTGTAAGGGAGATTGCGGCTACATTAACAGTTCAAGATGAGAGTAGTAGTGGAGATGGACATGAAATGAGGATGCATGGTGTACATTGGCCAGATGAAGGGGGAGTTCTTCTAACAACTACCAGTGATAAGTTCGCAGGAGCTTTTGGTCTTCCTCATTTTGCCACCGATGAGGAGCATTTCACAAGCAGTGCGGAAATTATGAAGAAAATTTGTTACCGCAGACTACAAAAACTTGAGGAATCCGCGAAGGAGAATCCGAAAAGTCTTCTTGAACCAAATTCGGGCCAAATCGATGGGTTACCAACACCCCATTGCGAATATATCTTGTTTGCTCAAGTATTACCTTTGAAATTTAATGGCCTCGAATATGATGACAGATCACCCAAGGCACACAATTTTGTCCAAGAACTCGAAAACGAACTTCGATTCCCAAATGGTGCTCCTATTTCCCAGGCGCCGAAACTACAGCTATCTACAATAATCTTCTCGCCTGATTGTGGATTTATGCTCGAATCGAAAGGTCCGCCAAACTTCGCTCCTGTGGATGGAGAACACCTTGTTGGTTTGAAGCAAGAGGTTTGGTTAGAAACTATTCGCTCTTGGTTATTGGTATTTGCTGCGGTAGCTCTCGGACAGGCATTGATTCTGAAGGATCAATGTAAAGAGGCTTCTACACCATCAACTGTGGGCCGTGTTAGCATCCATACCGTTGCCATGATGCTTTTAGCAGATGGATTGTTGTTCTTTACAATGTCACTGGCGAGCGCTACATTATCTAGTATATTTCCATCTGCGTTGTTGACATCATTTGCCGGCTTGATGTCTGTGGCACTTGGAGTTCGCTTTATCGTAAATATTTATGGAGTTCAAGAACCTGAACGATTGGAGCAAGAAAGGGCACAAGCGGCTGCTTTGGCAGAATTGCAAGCTAGGAATCCACCTGCAGCTGTGCGATCAGCACCGGTTATCACGGCAGCGGGTGTAGCTACCTTACCCTTACCTATCGCATCTTCAACTCAAGCTCCACCTCGAAACGCATCTCAAAATGTTCCCATCATAGTCCCTTCAGATCAAGACGTGGACGCAGAAATAGCTGAAAATGTCAATGCGACATTCGCGGTACCTCGTCCAGCGGGCACTCCAGCTATCGTTCAACAATCGAGAGTAACCTCCGACATAACTCCCTACTACGGCCAGTTCATTCTCCTCCTAACCGTGATACTTCTCCTTTCCATCATGTCCACCACCTGGCCTGTTCCTATCCGCACAGCATATGTCTACCTTTGCTCCTTCACTTACATGTCCCTCTGGATTCCCCAGATAAAACGCAACATCACACGTAATTGTCGCAAAGCGCTTCTTTGGCGTTTCGTCATAGTACAAAGTTTACTAAGGTTATCTCCTTTTGCTTATTTTTTCCTCTATGAGGATAATTTTCTCTTTAGTGAGAGTAGCTGGACAGCAATGATGGTTTTAACAGGATGGGTCTGGTGTCAGCTTGTAGTACTGTACAGTCAAGAGGTTCTTGGTCCCAGATGGGCAATCCCAAAACGGTTCGGATGGTACAAGGAGGGCTGGGACTATCATCCAGTACTGCGAGAAGATAACGTTGAGTCTGGAGGTTTACCAATTGGTCTTGTGAAAGTCCCATTGGGTTCTCCTACAACTCCAGGATTTGAGGAAACAGATATGAGTGCGGATGAGAGAGATAGTAAAGCGGGGATTAGAACAGTGGATTGTGCAATATGTATGCAGATCCTTGAGGTTCCGGTTGTGGGGATAGGAGAAGAGGAGGGCGCAAAGGGTGTGTTGGGGGCGTGGGATAGGAGGAGTTATATGGTGACGCCTTGTAGACATGTTTTCCATACTCAGTGTTTGGTGGGTTGGATGAAGTATCGTTTGCAATGTCCAATTTGTAGGGAAGGCTTGCCACCTTTATGAGGTACATAGGAAGGCTTTTTCGATTGAACATTTGAACATTAACAATGGATCAGTCGGAATGGATTAGAGGGGAAATAAAAAGTAAGAGTTATCGAACATACTCACCGCACAGCGTGAGGTTTTGTGACATAATCCCTGCAAAATTCATGTTTTCCTATATAAACTAAAATCTTATATAATTTATATAATTATTGATATTAATTTATAAAAACTTCGTAATGAATAATTTGAATTATTATTTATATATAAAAATTTCGAATTTATTTTTAAATATTTTTGTTAAAAAATTATATAAGCTTTTAATTGAAAAAGTTCAGAATTTTTAACTTGTAACGCTTTTCCCATACAAAATAAGCGAATTTTTCGAATTTTTTCGAATTTTCAACTTTAACCCCTCAAAAATACTATTATAAAAATATTTAAAAATAAATGATATATTTTTTTGAATAATTTAAGTAATTTTAAATCTTTCCATAATACTATATTCAATTTTATCTAATACATTCATAAATAAACCAGGGTATAAAAAGCTGAATAATCGTATATTTTAGCCGGAAAAGTGTTACATGTACGATGAGTAGGTTCCAGAACTCTTACATAAGCGTACATATTGGATAAGATAAGGCGCATAGTATATAGCGAAAGGCCAATTAAAATTGTAATAATACCGAAAAAGAAAAATCTGTCCCCATTGTCGCCCCGCCCCCCCCCCCCCCCCCCCCCCCTTTCACCCCGTTTAAGTTAAAAATCATACAATGCCATGCATTAAAAGCGAGAACATTTTCACTCATACAGACACACATTCAGCTTCTGAACAAAATACAGGTGTATCTCTTTCAACATAACAAGAACAGAAAACTAATTCTATATATCTGATATACGAACTACAAAAAAGGATAACCTCATTCACCTCTTTGAGCATCTTCCCCACCAAACTTCACAATATCCCCCCTATCTCTTCAACGTCTTCTGTTTCTCCGCATCCCTAACCAATTTCTCGCCCTCAACCCTCAACCCCTTCCTCTTCCTCACGCCATCCATATATTTCTTCGCCACATTCTCCTTATCCGCCAATTCTCCCAAATCCTCCAAATCATCCTCCGTGAATGGTGTCCAGAACGGATCTTCATCTAATACCTCGTAGCCCTGGAAGATGAGTTGCGGACTAGCTGCTCCGGATGTTCTCTTGCGGATTTCATCCGAGAAACCAAAGGAGAGAGCGACGGGAAGAAGCGATACGATGGTAAAGAAGGGGGTACCCTCTTTGAGGGATTCAGAGAGAATGTGTCCGCGACGACGGGTGAGCACGTCGTAGACGCGACCGAGGACTTCGGCTGTTGTTTGTGTTAGTCTATCGGATTGACTTCCAAAGTCTTGATTAGTCTATGATTTGTAGGAGTAACTTACTGCTAGCCTGGATTTCACAAGAGTACATGGCAAGCATGAGTCTTGGGGACCAGTCCAAGAAACCTTGTTTGATAGCTTGTTGAACAGTTTTGATCACTTCACCAGTCAATCTACCAAAGTTATCACGGGTAGATGATTCTTCGTCGGTGGAAGGAGCAATGGTGACCTCTTCGAGGAAAACAGCGATACCTTGGATAGGCTCATTGCATAGAGGTCCTTGGGCAGTGGCGAGTTGGAAAGCATAACTGATCTTGTCAGAAAAGGAACGGGCTTGGAGAGCCTGGGTTTGAGTTGCCGATTCTTGAGAATCGGCAGTGGTGTCTTCACGGAGACTTTGAAATGTTAGTATACTCTTTATGATTGAGAGTTGATTGGACTTACAATTTTCCAAGAATTCCATCTGCGGTGGAATCAATTAGAAGATTAGGCCCAGTTCTTCGTGGTCCAAACGCAGTAATTTGATCTACTGCTGAAGCCCAAATATCCTTTTGACCTTTCACTCCTTCGAAAGTCTTCTGAAGTTCTTCCTTAAACTCATTCAACGACAGAACCTTCTCACCACCCAATACTTCATCAACCTCTTCCTGCTCGGCTGACTCTTGTGTAGAGTCATCACCAGTCTTCTTGCTCTTCTCC